GTCTAGCAATAGCACGGTGCTTTAGACTGCTGGACACACTCCCCCAGGGGGCTGTGCCTGTGGCTCCGAATGGCTGAAACTGACTCAGATATAGGACAATCCTGTATCTTCCTGCACTTCCTGCCCCAGCCTACCTACACTCAGAGGCTTTGTTGTTTAAAAAGTTCGCCTCCCCTGGTCTCTCAACCTCCATTCCCACTGCAGAGCATTCTGCACCAGCGCTGGTGATTTGGAGGTGTTCTCCTCCCGTCCTCTTGAGTCTCCTTTCCGCCTTCCCTGGAGGATGGGTGGGCACAAGCAGGAAGGAGCACAGGAGTCTGAACCCCAGTCCATTTGGATGTGTCCATTCAGATCCCGGGGCTTGGAAGCCAGGAGCTGAACACATGATGGTTTGGATCTCAGCACAGAGAAGCAGTGGGCGGGCACTCGGCTCCTAGGCCCATTTTCCTAAGGGATTGAAGGTACATTTTAGTGAACAGTTGCACGTGGGGGTTGAGGTCTGGAAAAAAAAAATTGCACCAAATGCAGCAGCTGAAGCTCTTCCTGTGATGGGATTAGGAGGCAGGGGCTTTGGGAGGCCACTTGGTTTAGATGAGGTGGTCTTGGTGTCTTATAAGAAGAGGAAGGGAGCTGACCGGCTCCTTCTCTCCCTTCTCTCCTGCCCTCCTGCCCCTGCCTGGAGCAATCTGCCGACCTCTCAGCCTTCAGAACGGTGAGAAATAAATGCTCAGAGCTAAAGCCCCCATCTACAGGATTTCATTAGGGCAGCCCAAGCTAGACAGGGATCCCAGACCTCCCTCTTCCACCCCTTCCCTTCCTCCATCTTCAACACTGAACAAATTGAGAAAAGAACGCCACTAGTGGTTTACTGGAATCATGAGTCGAGGTGATGCATTTCTAAGGTCCTTTCAGGTAGAGAGGCTCCGCTGAAAGTCCTTCCCTGGGGGCCTTTGTCCACTCCAGCCCACAGCACCCTGAGCGGGGCAGGAGAGCAGGCAGGAGAAGGCGAGCGAGCGGAGGTGGAAGGCACAGGTGAGTCATGCTTTTGCTCCAGGGCCCCGGGGGTTAAAGGCCACGTGGGCCTCACTCTCCTCTGGCGTCTGCCTTTTTTTTCTAAATGGAGCCGTGTCCAGTGCTTTTGCTCACTGAGTCTGTCTTCTTATCTCCATCAAAACATCCCTGAAAGTGACTTCTTGACTGAAGGTGGCACAGACCAACCAGGGGGCAGGGCACCGGGGCCTGGTGTGTGGGGAGTGGAAATTCGCCTTGTGCCTCTGGGGGGTCACGGCTGCCTGCCTGGTCCCTGAGAAGAATCCCAGGCTGGTGGAGGACGCAGCTGATCCTGCAAGGAACGCCCTGTCCTAGCTACTGTTACATCTGAGATTGGAAATAGAAACAGATACAGAGTAGCCACATGGAAAAGATGACTGCGGCCAAGTTAACAAGGGGGCAGAGTCCCAGTGTGATGCCCGAGGATGGTGGGGTAGGGAGGATGGTGGGGTGGGGAGGATCTTGGCCTCCGTGACAGTGGGCATCCCCAATTCCTGTCCTGAGCTGTCTTCTGGCTGCTTGACTGGGAACCTGGGGTAATGCACCCCCCTTCCCACCCCCGACAAAGGTCTGCGGTGACACCCTCTCACTGACTATGTGTGATTTAACAGGAAAAGAAAGTGGTCCTGTTTGGGGTTCCCTGGAGGCTTTCCAAAGAGAAGCATAATGTTTTACACTCAGCCCTTAAGAAAGGAGAGGGGAGGCAGAGCGGGAGCCCAGGCCTTCCCCTTCTTTCGAAAGGCATGCCATGGCTCTCTGCCTTTGCCCCCTCCCCCTAGAGTCTGCAGACTCAAATGTAGAGAGAAGTGTCAGTCCTGGGGATGGCGACTGTGAGATCTAAACGAGTGAGAAGACCCCCATCCTGTCCCCAGAGCATTCCAGGAGAGCTAGATGCAGGAGTCCAATCAGGAATCGCGCACAGCCCCTCCTGATGGGGCCCCGTTGTAACTGCAACCTTCTAATTATGCCACTGGTGGCAAGAATGAGGTCATGGTGTCTGCAAATGACTTTCCCAGGAACAAGGCCCTCTTAAAGTGCAGGTCTCCTACAGTCTCCTCCTGGGCCAGCAAAATTCTGATAAGAAGCAAAATCCCCTCCTGTGTGTTCAGGCAGAGGCCCCCAAAGAGCACAAATCCTCCTCTGCATCCCAGATGGATGGAGACAGATTTGCTGTAAGATCTGCCGGAGAGTGACCTCCTCCTCGTTAACATGCAGGCATGCCCGAGCCTGCCGACCAGACAGGGAGCCTTTCTCCCTCTCCCCAGGGCCTCTTGGCCCCCTATCCTGGCCTTAGGAGATAAAGCTCCCAGAAGATTTGTAGGGCCTCACAGGCTGTGCAAGAGGCCTGCTTCTAGGAGAGGAATGGGTGCTAGCCGTTCTGGGCCTCAGGAGCACCCTGCTCAGACCTCTGGCCCCTGCCAGGTCTAGGGACCCCAGCAAGGAAGAATGCACCAAGATTCCAGACATCTGTGTCCACAGGAACTCCCAGTCTCTGCAAGCAGACAGGCAGCCGCTCTGCTGTCCCTTTGCTGTCCCAGGAGATATTCCTGGCAAATCTGGCTCTCAGGCCCCCTCTGTGAGTGAGCTGTGCAACAGCACCCTAAAGAGCAGCTGCTGCTGGTGGGCTGGGAAGGGGCTGAGCTCAGGTCTTCAGAGCACGGCGGGGTGTGTGAGGTCACTTCTGGGCATCTGTAAGGAGATGTGAGTAGTGTGGCCACCTAGAGGATGAGAGCTGGTCCCATCCAGGCTGCCTGCCCCCAAAGCCCTTGTGTGTAGGAATAAGTCAGCCAGAAGGGCTTTGGCCCGGCACTGAGCACAGGCTGTCGGGAAAAGTTCTACAGTGTTTTTGAATTAAGTGACTGAAGGGCTGAAGGCAGGCAGGCCAGCTTTTCATCCATTTTAGAAAATGCCCACAGCTCCTCTTGCGAGGCAGGTGAGATGAGAACTTGTGTAATGAAATATTTGTGATGGCTGTTCATTTGGCAACTCTCAGAAGGGGTGCCCCGGGGACCGGAGTGGGCACCTCCACTTCAGTGAGGCAGAGGCCTAAATTCACAGGGTGGGGGGCAGAATAGGCAGGTCCAGGAGGAGAGAAGAAAGAACAGCCAGCAAAGTGGAAGGTCTCACTTGGTTTTCTTTGTTTTCCTGCAGAAATAGCATGCCGGCTCCATGGACTTCTCCACTGAACCCAGCAGGCACAGGGCCAAGGACCACAGTCTTCTAGGGGCCCATGAAAATGTTTTAATTTCTTTTAAAATCAGGGGGAAACATGAATTTTTAGATGGAAGAGAATGTCTTAATATGTAATATTTGTCACTATGCCAACTCAGTTACAAATTATTATTTTTAATATTTTTTAATGGAGGAAGGGGTCCAGGGCAGTAAAGGCGCCTGGAACACAGGGCAGTTTAACTGGGTCCTGATGCGCCTGCGCTAGGCTTCTCCCCCTAGGGGGTCCAGTTCTCCAAGTTCCCCTGGACCACAAAAGAGGACGTGGCTGGGCTCTGTCCTTTGTGACTGCCTTGTTAATGTCCCGTTCTCCCACCCTTTACAAGCGGGAGCTCCGAAGACAAAAACAAAGATTCCGCTCGCCTTGGCACCGACTTCCCTCTGGGCCCCCTGTAAGTCCCAGGCCTCCTTTTGTCCTCCTCTCCGCCCTGAGCGTTTCCAGACTTTGGAGGGAGACCTGGGAAGGGCGAACTGGAATCAGCCGGCTGACCGAACTCCTCTCCTCAAACCCCTCTTCCTCGGCCCCTGCCACTCCAAGTCCGGGAAAGGTGTTGGAGTTTCCCTAGAACTGGGGGTGGGAGAGGCCTCGGGCGCGGGCTGCGGGGCCGAGGCTGGAAGGCAAGCGCGGCGAAAGAGCGAGGCTCGGTGCGCCCCTCTCCCCGGCAGGCCGCACGGTTAGCACTGCTGCCCTCCGGCGGGTCCCGGAGACGCTGAGCGCCCGCGGCCGCGCACACGGCTCGTGTTTCCGCGGGGCTCGCTCCCGGGCCTGGCTCGGGGCCGCCGCCGCCGCCCCCTCCCGGCGCGCAGGCTGCTCTCCAGTCTCGGCCACAGGGTAGCGCTCGGCCCCCCTCTCCGCGTCTCCGCCTCCGCCTCCGCCGCGCTCGTCCCCGGCTCACGCTGCCCCCGCAGCTCCGGCTCGGCGCAGGCAGGAGCGGCTCTCAGGACGCCGAGCCCGACAAGCGGAAGGCGGCGGGCTCGGCGAGCGGCGGCGGCGACCGAGGTGGGCGGCGGCAGCGCGGCCGAGGAAGGCGTAGGGGTGGCTGCAGCTCCTCCCGCCGGGGCGGTCGGCGAGCGCCGGGCATCCGAGGGGACGCCGAGCCCCCGGGGCCGGGGCTGCTCGCCGGGCTCTCGGTGCGTCTCGCCGAGAGCTCTGGCCAGGGCGCGGCGGAGGGCAGAGCCGCCGGTCTCCATCCTAGCGCCGGCAGGAGGCTCCGCGCCGAAGCGCTGGCTTCAGCCCGGGTCGCCGATCCCAGCAGCCGCCCCTGCCAGCCCAAAGCTGGGGTGGACATGGGCGCGCGGGGCTGTGTGCCGGGCCGCAGGACCAGCAAAGTTTGCTAGCCTCCTGGGCGCAGAACCGAAGGACACCCGGTCCCGAAGCCCCCGGAGGGGACCCAGAATCTCCGGATTCAGCGCGAGGGCGGTGGAGCCCAGAAGGGCGGCTCGGCCCCGCCAGATACCTCCTGCAAAGTTAGAGAAGAAAACTTCAGCTCCAGGGAGACTCGGACCGTTATGCTAACCGCGCCCCCCGAAACTGACACCCCTGGACGAACCTCAGCACCCGCGACTGCCGCCGCGCTCGGCTCGGAACGCGCCCCGGGGACCGGGCGCCTGCGACCACGGTGACTGCGTGGGTCCGGAGAACCCTACCAGGGGCGGGGAGGAGCGGGGGGCGGGCAACGTGGCCACCGGAGGAAGTTTCCTGAAGTTGTCCGCTTATTCCGGAGCTCGGCCAGCGACCCGGCCGGATCGCGGAGGCCGCCTTGGCTGGGAGAAGAAGTCGGAGTTGGGGTGCTAAGGGAGGCAGGCGCCCGAATCCGAGAGGGCGGCTTTGCCTCTTTCTGTTTGCTCGCCCCTCTCCTTCCGGGCGCGCGGCCGGCATCGGACTCGGACAGCAGAGGAGGAGGGATTGGGGTCGCCAGCGCGGGCCCTCCCGGGCACAGTACGCCTGGGACCCAGAGCCGCGTAGACAGTCTCCTGGGACCAAGCCGCGGGGCGCCGAACCCCACGAGGATTATAAAGCAGGACGGAGGGGAAGGAGACCCCGGAGGACCCCCTCCAGGCTGGTCACCATGTGGCGGCTGCTGATCTGGACTCTGGTGGCTCTGTATCGGATCCGCGAGGCTGGAGCCCAAGGTACTGGGGACCATCCCCACGTGGGGCTGGGAGGGGGCTCGGAGAGAGGGCGGGCAGGGGGTGGCCAGCGGGTCAGCGTGCTCAACCTAGACAGCCCTCTCTTGGGAGTTTCAAGACCCCCCCTCCCCAAGTTTGGGGTCTGTCTTTCGGGTGGGGCATGCTCTCTGAGACTTGTGGCTTCTGAATGGGGAAGGTGGGGTCGCCCGAGAAGGCTGAGAAAACCCTAAGGTGAGGAGGGAGGGACACTCCTCCTGTCCCCGCCGGCTGCCGGAGGGTGCCCTCGGGCCGGCGTGGGAGGGGCGCGCCATTCGGTGCCGGCTCTACGCGGCTCCACTGAGCTCGGAGGCCGGGCTTCGGGTTCCCGCTTGGCGTCCGCGGGAAAGGGCAAGGCCCTGCTGGGCAGGCACTGGCCGCCCTGGGGAGAGGGAGAGGGAGTGGGGCGGGCGGGCGGCCGGGCGCTGGGAAGGAGCTGGGGGAGGATGCTAGGCGCCGGCTTGGTCCTCCCTGGAGGGAGGCTGCCCTGCTTGGCCACGTACTGGAGCCCGCGCCTCGCTGCTGGCCGGCCGCAGGGGCCGGCGGTGCTCCTCGGCAAGGGCCTGGGGCCGCGGGTGCAGCCGCGAACCCACCGGGGGTGGTGCACAGGGAGGGGCTGGGGCCTCCTTCCCACCCACCTCCAGACACGCCCCGCATCCCGCCCCTGCCTCCAGCCTCCTCTGGTCGCTGATTGTCTGGCAGCCTGTGCTTTGACCTGGGCTGCGTGGAGCAGCCTGTGGTGGAGAAGAGCTGGCCGTTTGTGGGGTGGGATCCGCGCAGTCCCTTTCTGGAGGGCGATGTCCAGACGTCCCTCCAGTTCGCCGGCGGGTCAAGGCGGGGAAGGGCGGCTGCACCCGCGCTTCCTTGCTTTGGGGTTCGCGGATCCGCACAGCGGTGCCAGCGGTGTCCGAGCGGCGCCTGCTGGGGGCCCAGGGAGATGAGTCTAAACCTGTGCTCCGCTGGGCCTGGCCTCTTCCAGGCTCAGGAGGGCATGGGACCCACCCGGGGGGCGCCGGACTGCGGGGGGGGGGGGCTGCAAGCCTGACAGGGTCCCACTCTACATCTGGGGTCACGGAGCCTGTGGGGAGGAAGGAACCCAAGTCGGGCAATCTCCAGAGCCAGGATCAAAGATAAAAATTATCGGCTCTGGCTCACAGGGTTGAGGGGATAATTTTACGAGGTAATTTAGATAAAAGCACTTGGAAATTTTGCAACGAGATCCATAAATGTAAGGTAATAAAAGTTATTATTTTTATGATCGTCATAAAAATTTCCAGTAGACGAGGACCTCAGAGGTCATTTTATTCTAGTGACCATTTAACAGATGGGGAAACTGAGGTCCTGCGGCAGTAAGTGGTTTTTCTGAGGCCATTTGGTGATGTGGGGTCAGAGTCAGGGCTTGGGCCATGTGAGTTCTGAGACCTTTTCCTGCCTGGCACTAGGACAGGGCCCCTCTAGGCAGGCTGCTGGGAGGGTGATTCTGGCAGAGGAATGGGCTCTAGTCTACCAGGGGTGCCTCCTGGGTATGTGCTGAGATGCCCGGGAAATTACTTCCCAGAAGACGGCCTCTGAGGGGTGTCCGTCTGTCTGGATCCTTCTGGTTTCTTGACTGCACATCCACCAGGAACCATGTGACTTCCCTGGGCAGGTGCTCACCAGTTCTTGTCCCATCCATGACCAGGCCCTTTTGGAGTCCCCAGGGCACCTGGTGGCTCTTCCTTCAGGGTCTTCCTGTCCTCTCTTCCCCGCCTCCACACCTGTGCCGTCCACCACTGTTGTTGAAGTGAAGGCCAGGCTACTCCCATCCCTGCGCTTCCCGTGGGAGGGCCGAGCCTGCTGTCTGTCAGAACGGTGCAGGTCTCTGATTGATCTGCTGCCTTTTTGTGTGTCAGGCTGCCCAGGGCCCCTGCTGCTCCGTTTGTGCTCTCTGGCTCCAAGAGTGTTTGTTCGCCAGCATCTGTCCCCTCCTTCCATTTGTCTTCGGAGCAGCAAACCCTGCAGAGGATTGTGGGAACGGGGTACCCAGCCTCCTTGCCCCTGCTTGGGGGGCAGTGCTGGTTTGCATGTTGGAGGGGTGGGGTCAGGATGCAGGTTCCTTTCTTATCTACTCTGGGGTCAGTAAGTGAGTTTCTTTGAGTCTGAGACCATGCCGTGGATCCTTGGTCTGCAGTTGAAGGTCCTTGCACTGTCTGGTCACTTCTGAGCACAGGAGCCCCACTCTCCCTTGAGACAAACCTCACACTGGCCACACCACTGGATCTTGGTCTAGACCTTGCTTAATTTTGAGGGTCTTTTTGCCGCGGGCTGGGACGGAACTCCATCACCTGGGTGTACTGAAAGCCACTCTTTGACCACATCCCCACCATCTGATGTACCATGATTCAAACTCATTTCGTATGTGAAGTTCAGTGACATTGCAGGAAGAGAATTGGCTTTGGCAGTAGAAAGAATGGGCTCTCATGATCTGGCATTGCTGCTTAGCTGCACAGAGGTTTCGGAAAGTCTCAGCCACTCAGAGCCTCGGTTTCCTCATCTGTACATTGGGAACAGTAGCTTCTCCCTTGTAGAGTTGACACTAGAGGATTCAAATGCCCTGGCAGGTGTTCCCCACATAGAGGGGCTTCACACTTGGCAATTGCTGTTAGCATTTTCAGTATTTTAATGCTGCATATCAGGGAACGCTGAAGAGTGGTGGCCTGCCACTCCCCCAGAAAGACCTTGAATTCCTTTGTCTTACCCAGGAGCTTTCTTGAACTTCTTTCCATGGGTACCTTTGTGGGCCTCTGAGTGGCCCTTAAGCTCTTAGCTCTCTGGAGCTGGTGATCGTGCAGTTTCGTGTGCTCCCTCGCAGACACCGGGATTGGAAAGGTTGGGCGAGCCTGGTTGACTGCATTCTCTCCAGTGCAGAGAGAGAGCTCTCCTGTGCTCGCAAGCTTGCCTTCTGCTGCGGGTCATCCTGGCCACCCCAGAGGCCGGAAGGAGGGCAACAGGCTGGTCCAGAAGATTCTTTCAAGAGAAGCATGCCAGGGGAAGACCAACAGGGCGTTGGCACTGAGTGAGCCAGGCAGTGGGGAAGCCCTGGAGAGGTCCGGGAACTCCTGCTCTGGAGCTCCTGGAGGGGTCCAAAGGGAGAAAGTTTAGTGCTGGGAGCTAATCACAATAAGAGCCCAACAGCGCACAAGGGAGCAGGATGAAAGTTTAATTACATGGTGTGGCTAAGCTGTAATTATTAATTACTGACAGCAAAAAATAACTTATTGATCAGGGCCTCTTGCTAATTACCAGGAGACCGGGTGTCGCGCCTGCCTGGGGCTCAGCCATCTAAAGCCCCACACCAGAGTGGGATGGGAGGTGTCTGCTCTCGGTTCCCTTCTCCCATGCACCTTCTCCCCCGCCCTGTGTGCCCCTAGGCTTCAGCTGGGGATCTGGAACATTCTTGGGGTGGGTAGATGAGTGACGTGGGTTGGCTGCTTCTACGGGCTGCCGGTGATCCCCCTGCCTAGGATGAAGAGTTCAGACCCCACCCGAGGGCCAGCTCACATGGGCTGCCCACACCTGCCTCAGGAACCCTCCCTTTCATGCATTTGTTCTGCAAATATTGATCGACCGCCTCTCCCTGTGTCCTCTACTGGAAGGCTGGAGTAGGGGCCAGGAACCTCCTTCCATCAGGGAAGGGAGGCTGGGAAGGAGGCCAAATGCTTTACAGCACATCTCTGTTTTAACAGTGCCCCAGCGGTGGACTTTTAAGATGATGTGTTAAACTGTATATTGGTATGCATTTGACCTTGTGCCCCAGGACACGGCTGGGCTCTAAGCTAAAGATAAGGGAGAGTGGGCTTGCTCTCTGTCCTAAGGACAAGTGGAATCACAGCCCGGGACTGGGAAGACACAAAAGTCATCTAGAGGGGCTGGGGATGTGGCTCAAGCGGTAGCGCGCTCGCCTGGCATGTGTGTGGCCTGGGTTCGATCCTCAGCACCACATACAAACAAAGATGTTGTGTCCGCCGAAAACTAAAGAATAAATATTAAAATTCTCTCTCTCTCTCTCTCTCTCTCTCTCTCTCTCTCTCTCTCTCTCTCTCTCTCTCAAACAAAACAAAACAAAAAGTCATCTAGAACTGTTCTCTGCCCACAATCCCTGGACAACTGGCCATCGGGTCTGCTTGCACACCCGTGGTACAAGCTGGTTGTTAGAGGGTCCTGTTTCATGTTGATGAAGGCATCGGCCTCCTAGTGACTGGCTGTCCCAGGATTTGGCTTAAGGCCTTTGGATGGGCTGGAGCCCCCTCCCCTCTCCCCCTGGCTCCTTGGCCCTCCAGGCATCGGGAGGGGAGTGAGAATTGATGCTGGGTGCCACCCTGCTGCCTGTGGGGGCTCCACCCGGCTCCCCCTGGAGCACACTGCGGAAGACCTGGAGCTGCCTAAAGCGGCGGGAATTAGTCACCATAATTTGGGGCCTTGGGATGCCAATAGCAACTAACGGGCCAGCGCGGCCCACTGCCTGTGACGGAGAGGAAAACAGTCTGGCTGCTCAGACGCCCCCGTGCTCCCCGCCTCCCAGCGCCTGCTGTCCACACTCTGGGCAGGAGGCAGGCCAGGGAGCCACGCTGGGCCATGGACTGTCCAGGGCTGCTCGGGGCCTTGGGGGAAAGGGAGAGGGGGCAGCTGCAGAGCTGTCTCATCAGACGCCCTGGGCCAGGAGTCCAGGGCAGGGAGCCCTCGCTGAGCCTAGGAGCCTCTGCCAGGCCCTTGTGACAAGGGAGGTGCTCGTAGGGGACGGCTCCCAGCCTGGGCTGCCCCTTTGAGACCTGCCTCTGCTGCTGGGTGATGGTGACTTGAGCCTCAGTTTCCTCATCTGTAAAATGAGTAAATAGAACAAAAAAAATTCCCATGTCTTCCTCCCGGGGTGGTTTGGGTGATTAAATGCAATTATCCAAATTGCTCTAAAGATGCTCTTAATAAATGTC